AAGTTCCTATTTATCCTACCTATTATTATTCTCATTATACTCACACCATTATTCTCACAAATATCCCACATACTCAATGTTCCATTCATCTGTTAATTCTCATTTAACTTGATCACTTATGAATAAGCTTCTTCACAATGTAATTCAACCGTATGAAACGTAAAAAACATCTCTCACTCATGTGTGTCTCGCGCGACATCGAATTTGCGCCCTACTCGTTATTTTCTATTATTTTTTTTTCTTTCATTGATAAGTGATAATTATTCTGTATATATAGTATGTTATGACTTGAAAAAATTACATTCTTTCAATAATAACAATGCCCAAGTGGTTACGATAAGGCCCATTTGTTTTATTCAGACTATTCATCCTATTTTGTGTGAATTTTGCTTCCATTTTTTTTTACTATCGTACTCTTGTCGTTAAGCATGTTTCATTATCCCTTGAATTAATGAGTAATGAGTAATACTAAAGCCCAAAATATCTCGTCAAGATTCCTCTTGTGTTTACATTCCTCAGTCCGATTATAAGAATTTTGTTTTTTTTTTATTTTCTTCGTTACGTCTTGTCTTGACAATTCTTGTCATTGACTTTTTCTCCATTCTTGTATATATCAGGTATATATGTATATATGTATGTATGCATGTATGTATGTATGTATGTATGTATGTATTTATTTGTTTATTTGTTTATTTATTCATTTATTAATTTTTTTTCATAATACTATTAATTATTTATTAGGGTTAAAATTACGTGAAGCCGGCAGGTTTTTATTAATTTATTAGTACGTTTTACTTATTTGATGTGTGCGTGTGTCGAATTTATTCAGTTCAATGAGTCGTCAATCTGTTGGTGAAAATTTGTGGGAAAGTGATGAAAAGATCTCGTAACGGATGAATAGAGAGAAAAATGTATTCATATTTCATCAGCAATCGTTCACCATTGATATTATTATTTCCTCAACAGATTTTTCTCACTGATTTGTTACGTTCTCATCATCTCAACTACTCGCTTGAGTTATTAGTCTTCATGGTTTTTCATATATATTCATGGCATGAATCGTGCAATTGTTACACGTTATAGGTACTAGATCTGCACTGTCCATTTTCTTGCATACTCAATTCGTTGTGAAGCAGAGGATTTAATGCTATTTCATTCATCTTCTTATTCATCATCAGCATTTTTTCAAGTTCACCTTACATCGGATCATTTGGAATTCCCATCTTCTGGAGTAACACACAATTACCATGTCGGCGCGATCAAATACTTTGTTTTTTTTTTTAGATATTTAGATACTAACATTTAAGATTTAGCAATTAATTGATTTTGTACATTTTTCGTGGTTAAATTTTCATTTCATTTTTGAAAAGAACTTGCTTATTTCTTCACTCGAATTTCTTCACCACGTTTTTTTCGTTTTTTTTCTCATTTTATTTTTTAAATAATTTATAACTTTAAAAATTCATTCTTCTTTTTTAAGTTATCATTATTATATTAATAATTTCTCTGCAATTTTTTTTTTCATTTTAAAAATTTTCTTCCTCTTACTTTGTGATTGATTTGTACATTTCATCGTCCCCGAGTGTGCGAGCGAGCCTGACATAGCAGAAAGCATTACGACTGTAATTTTTCTCTCATTTTTTCCATCAATTAAATTTTCATCTTTTAATTATTATCCCTGTCTCTCACCACTCCTGGCATCATCGTATTCGGTGAATGAGCCCCTTTACTCGAGTGATTAACGTCGAGCGAACTGTGAAAAAGGACCATAATACAGATAAAATTCAATTGAAATTAATTGTCTTCCACATTTTCGCCTTTTTTTTTTTAATAATATCCGATGTTTCCGATTTTGAGGATAGACAATTTTCCATGTTTTTTTTTCCTCTCGTTTGCGTATGACGATGACTGCTATTTGGTCCATCTCGTGTTTTATAACTTGTTTTTCTTTTTTTCCTCCGTTTTGCGTTGTATAATAGTTTAGAGCTTCAGAACTGTGAGAACTGCGAGCAACGAAGTCGAAGAGTGTCGTTTCAATCTTGGCTTTCAATCAATTTTTTTCTTACTGACGATTTCCGTTAATTATTAAGTTGAAAATAATAAAAGCGATAATTGTTGGTTTTATTATTAATTACTGGGGCTCGGTTGGGTCGTGAGTGAACATTGATTACTTTTCCACCTTTCTCGTGTGATAACAAATGTAAAAGAGTGATTTTTATACATCCATATCGAAAGATTTGTTTTTAATTAATAATTTTGTAATTTATTATGATTCATTAATAATCATCATGTTGGAAAAAGGAGTGTTTTACTTATTCATTGGCAAATGTATGGCAAATGTATAATTTTGATTATTGAGAATGCACTTTTAAATGTCTTGAGTATTTTTTGTTCTTCAATAATCCAGAAGTGGTTGAAGCGGGAAGGCGCATACGCGAAATAATCGTCCAGAAAATCTCGTGTCACATAAAACTGCGAGCCCGAGAGTCACTCGTTAATTATCATCCCTAAACATCGTTAATTTTTTATTTTTTCCCACTTTATTTAGTTATTTATTCATTTTTTTTTTCTTTTATTGATAAAATGGTGTAATGGTCTTCCAGCGACCGGACCACCACCGTTATAGTTAAAAAATTTCATCTTCTCGAAATATATTAGATATATTATACAATTTATATCGACTTAAAAAAAAAATCTCCTTTCTTCCTGACAATAGTCCAGTGCAAAAAACTGAACATGTCGAAAAATTTGCCCTCTTTTACCTTTAATTATCTCATCAATTCTGTTAAATTTATCACTCACGATAATCTATCCCCCTTTGTTTTTTAATTTAATTTTGTACCATCATCACGATTTCCCATTTACTTCCCCATTTTACTTTACATTAATTAATTAAAAATTTCTTTTCTTCGTGCACAAAAAAAAATCACTTATTCATCCCTAAATAGCATTAAAATTCGTTAAGTTATTAAAAACATCTAATAAAAACGAAAATTTGAAAAAGTAAGAATAATGAAAGAATGGACACAAAAGAGAATAAAAAAACTCATTTAAAGAATTACTTATCCATCCCAACAATGTATCAAAAATAAACTTATACTCTTTATTATTCCTTTTTTTTCTCTCTCTCTCTTCTCTATCTTCAATGATTTCTTTACTTTTCTTCTCTTTCAACCCACCCCACATATGTCCCATTTCTCTAAATTTTCACTCGGCTCTAATTTCTCCCATTTCATCGCAAAAATAATAAACAAAAAGAAAAATCGCTTCGTTCTCTTCAGCCGCTCGTATACACATTTTTTTTCTTCCCCTCGAAAAACTACGTACACACATATACTTGAAAAAAACTTGACCCGCAAACGTTCATTCTCTAAAAACGATTTTTGTTTGTACTAAACGCATTATGTTATACCGAATGTGAAGAAATTGCTTATGTTACAGCAACAAATGTTGAATGATTTTTAGTCAGTATGAGGACACTCTGTCCTATCCAATATAATCACAATCCATTGGGATTAATTGATGACAAAGTGTGTTGATAATTGTCAGTCCGATATTAGATCTTTCACAATAAGAAAAAGTTATTCTGAAAAATCTCACCAATTGACAAGAGAATTTAATGATGATTAATTCTCTCAGGTTGTCTCTCTCGTTGTTACAACAAGTATTTCGATTATTTATGCCCCCCCCCCAGGACCCCCCGACCCCCCTTCTCACCGCTTTATCCCCAAAAAACAATTCTCCAGTTTTCGCCTCACGCCCCAATAATAGTCCCACTAACTCGAAAAAAAAAAAACTTAATAATATTTTTATCAGTCAACACACGCACACTCACACTTTACATCCTTGGTAAAAGTAAAAATCCCTGAAGGTGTGGTTTAGTGTATTTAAAAAGGTCTTTATACTCCCCAAACTAATTTTTTTCTCTTCCTGTACGAATTTATTAATTTCATAATGAGGCGTTAATTTCACCTGGAAATTTAATTTTCTGTTTATTTGAAATTCCTTTTGAAAAGCAAATGGTCCGTAATTTAACTCTTAAAAAACGCAATCTGTCGTTTAACATTGACTTATAAGCCTCTTATTTTGTTCATAATGATTTGATTGGAAATGAATATATTATGAAAATCCAGGGATTAAAATTTTTATAGCCAGGAGTGATACCAAGGAGAACTATCTGAAGACAATATTTCCTTGAATCCACTAATAATTCCCTGGCCAAACTAATTCAACGCCCATTGATAATCACGAGTTGGATAAATCTCATCAAAGAGAGCCCACCTGAAATACTATAATAATGAACCTGGTCCATGAAAAATGTCCATTGAATCATCCTCAATCCGAGGTCCAAGTTAAAGCCCTTTGACACGTGACTCAATCATCGAGTCAACCATTTTTTCTTGCATCTCTTGACACAAAAAAAAATAATCGTTTCTTTGGCAATTGTGATACCAAGGGTCTCAACACCACGATCTCAAAATTCAAGACAAATCCTCACCTGTTATTACGTTCTATCTGTTTAAGTCGCCATAATCGGTTTAAATGCACTTTATCAATAACCCAATAAACTGCACACATCAGTATCTATTTGTTATTCTCTCACCACTACAATGAGAAAACAATTAAATGAATGAAAACAAGTTGAAAATAAATGTAACAAGGATCTGTAATTTTCCAACAAAACTATTGGCAAAATTATAGACATCCCCTTCATCTATTAATCAGCAAAAATATTGTAATAATAATCATATCGGCATCATGAATAGCAATTTAACAGGATTATAACGTAATTGTGTTAAATGTTTTTTTTACGTAACTTCAATTCTCTGTATATTATTAATAACTTTAATATTAGGTAGACTTCTAGATTACTTGGTTTTTCATCATTATCAATCATTAATTCTTTCTTTCTTCAATTCAATTGATCATTTCCACTCTGCCTTTTTTTCTATTCATATTTTAATCTTTAATCGTAATGAATGAGGTAATAAGGTTGTGTGTGTTTTCCGTAGTTTCTTCATTATCTTCTTTTTTTTTTTCATTTTTTTTTTAAATACTTTTTTTCTCATTTATCATCAACGCTTCGAATCTGATGGAATAGCGTTTGTTTTTATTTATATTAATCAGTGAGCTTTCACCGATTGAACTACAAACTCACAATTTATTGATTAATTCTTGAAAATGGAAAGGAAGAGATGAAACAATGGGTTGAGACGGTTAAGAATTCTTGACCAGTGAATTTCCTCAGAAATTTCAAAGATATTGGAAATTCTAGTGATGCACTTGCCGAATTTTTATACGTTCAGAGTCATAATTCGGGTTATTTTCTCAATATGATGATCAGTTGTTGTTCAAATCAAGTTGATCAGAGGGCTTGAGATGAAAAGTTTTTATTTTATTTAGTTAAGCCAGAAGGAATAATGGTATCCCAAGCCCAAAGCTGTAATCAATCATTGAGCGGCACTAGAATTTACAAAAACTCGTCTTCCATTTGTCTGGTTTGTTTTTCATGGTAGGAAACACTTGCCAATTGCCAACAGAAGGTAATTCCCACTTTTAATCTGTTCCTGACCTAAGAAACAACCATCTGCGAGCGTTCGAAACGAAAAAGAAAAAAAAAATCGAACGATAAAAATAAAAAAAAAGCTGCTGTTGAGGCGTTGCTTGGCGTCAGTTGTTGTTTCTTCACCGTATCATAGTAAATTGAGTTTGTTTGTATTTAAATTAGTTGTTGGCTTAATTTTTGTGTTGTTATGAAGAACGTTACTGCTGCGGCGGCTGAGATTGACTCTGCGGCGATGAGCTCTGTTGAGTTTGTGATGGGGAGTGTTGCTGTTGTTGTGACTGTTGCTGTTGCTGTTGCTGTTGCTGCTGTGGCGGATGGGATTGGGGAGGCACCGAGCCACCCTGCTGGGATGCTGTGCTACCGTCTCTCCGTGTGCGTGGACCACCCTCTTGGCTTGCACCGCGTCCAGCGCGTGAGCCAGGAATACCGGTGGTACTACCGGGGGCACCTGATTGCAGCACCATCGCTCGAATTCTTCGCTGCGCCGACTAAATTCCATCAACAAGTAAAGAAATTAATTGAATTGATTCTTTTTATCTTTAGTTTTTCCTGAATAGAGGTAATTTACCTGAACAGAGAAGAAGGGTCCTATAATATGAACGGTAGTTTCCTCATCAGCTGTTGGGGGTGTTGACTGTTGCTCGGAGAGCTTGATAACACTCCCGGTAACACGCTGGAGTTCTCTCACATTCTGACCCCCTTTACCAATAATGCGACCAACTTGAGCACTCGGTACAAGAATCTCAACCGTCAGTCTAACGTCTTCGGTGCCTGCCACAAAGCCCTCTTCTCTCATCTTCTCGAATATCAGGTACTGCGCCTAAGTACCAATTTTCAATGAAATTATACATTAAAACGTTAAATTTATATTTAAATTAATTATTATTAATAAGGTAAGGTAAAAAATTGTTGAAGAGTAACGGGGGTGAAGTTCAATTGATCTATTGAATCCACCACGGAATCTCTATTATTTAATGTGCCTGCACGTATCAAGGTGATGCCTGCATACGTCACACCACCCCAAATCGGCAGGAATATGAACAATATGTTATCTACCGCAATGTCCTCTGACGTGAACTAAGAATATTACCTTCCACTGAGACTCTGGCGATCCAATAATGGTGACTTTTCTCTCAGTCTGCTGATCGGCAGGTTTCTCTTGCTCAAGTGGGGCTATTTTAACACTAGCACCGGAGAATCTTATGATATTCCTGATGTGTGAACCCTTGGTACCAATTATTGCCCCTACACTGTTATTGGGAATGTACAGAAAAGTGGTTTCTTGGGTGTCTGCTGCTGGTACACCACCTTGTTGCGTTGGTAGACTACCTTGATAAGGATAGGGGGCTGGCCCTGAGCCATAGAGACCTGGTCCACGTGAACTGTAGCCCATACCTGCTGTTGACATCATTGCCATTGGGTGGAGACCAGGGAACATCATACTTTGTGGAGCCATTGCCTGAAGATCATTTTCATAACTCTGACGAAGTTTGCTAGAGATCATAGACTCTGCTTTGCTCATGTTATCGATTGTGCCCTTGACAGTGATAATGCGTTCGAGATTGAAGCTATTGATGTCGTTTATACTGCTGACGGTGATCTTTGAATCAGTGTCCATCATTATTCTCTTAATCGTATTACCACCTTTGCCAATTATGCGACCGATGAGATTATTATGTGCAAGAATTTTCAATGTGATCTCCCCTTTATTGGTATTATTAGCTTCCTGTTGCATGACTTCCAGTATCTTCTTACAAGCATTGGTACAATTCTCTGGATTACCATAGATAGTTATAGCCTTCTCAAGTGATCCAACATTATCTTTGCGATGTACATCGACTCTGGCACGTGTCATTTGGGTTATTTGACGTATGGTTGATCCCTGACGACCAATAATAGCACCAACCATGTCCGATTGTACGAGAATGCGAAGTGGAAAATCAGTTTGACGACCAGAACCGGGTATACCAGAAAATGCACCAACTCCAGCACGCTGACTGCGTGCCCTACGTCGACTCTCAGCACTCGACATTTCCACTTTTAATGGAATACCGTCGTACTCGTAGCCATTCAACTGATTCACAACCCTGCAACAACAAATTCGTTGAATAGTCACCTTTTTCTATTTCTATATGACACTACAGTTTTCATCATTTTATCTATCCAAATGGACTCACTGCTGTGCTAGCTCTTGTGTTTCATAGCTAACAAGTACTGTCTGGGTGTTTGGATCTCTTGAGGCTACTTTTTCGACATTTAGCACCTGTCCGTACGTAGTGAACAGGAGCTCAACGTCTTCGAATTTTGCGTGGACCGGCAGGTTGCTGACGAGTACTTTTCCACCGGAGCCGCTGCTGGAAAAATAAATTTAAAATATATTTTTTCCGCTTCAATTCTCTCTAGAAATTTCCATCTCTATTTTTCATTTTTCCATATGATTTTTATTATCGATCAAAAAAATTATGCAGTAATTGATGACTCAAGAATGATTCGTCGTCTTTCTCATTGTGAAAGTCAAATTGACGAGTCTTTTAATGAAGCTGGAGGCCTACACACTATCTAAAGTGGACACAGTCCGGTGAGACAAAAAAGTTATAATACCATGTATAAATAGATGTTGTCTCTCCAGCTCTCTGTACTCACTGTGAAGACGAGTGCAGAGAAGAAAATTGCCTCTTTAGTTCCTCCCATAATACCATAAAAAACAATAGATACAAGGAGCATTAAGTTACTCATTCATTCACACATCTTTTAATACTATTAAGAGCTTCGTTAATATTCGTTGCAAATGAGCTTGACTCTATTGACCCTCATTATAAAATATTAATCTTTCCTCTTGTTGCATACTTCTCATTGATCGATGTACCCTCTTGGATATTGAAGATATTGATTAATATTGTCAACCATGAAGGGAATGAGAGACCCTTGGACAGATAACAATCGGATACCTTTACTTTCATCGACTCCAGCGTTCAAATTCATTTAGTAATTGAACGAACGAGTGCACTCATTCATTTAATAATGAGTTGACAACGATACAATATCCATCAATTTTCTGCAATGGATGGAAAATTTTCTCCATTTTACTTTTGGCGCATTTTGCTTTAAAATATTAATTAATATTAATTGGCCATATCCCAAGAGAGTATTTCAAGAAACGATCCATTGACGAATCCCAATGGATTTCGAACTTCAGTATATTTGAATTAATAGTATATAGATCTGTAATGAAGACATGTGCCTCTTTATGAGGGATCAAATCCCCTACCCGGAAATTTCATTTTCCCTCCCTTCTCCATTTATTCTTTACATCTGTTTTATTTGCTCGTGTCCTCCTTGTGCCAAGAGTGTTGGTGTTGGTCTAGGTATATGTGTGGATGTGTGCTATGTAAAAGGCCCTCTCACCCTCGCTCTCTTGGCCATATTTTGGGGGAAGAGGGCAGAAAAGAGACAAATAAAAAAAAAATAGTTGGGGGAATAAGAAGGGCAGGAGGCGCTTCGGCTGCGTCACAAAACTGAGAGGGAAAGGGGGTTCACTTTCACTCTCGTTGATATCGATTTTTTAAAAGCTAATGCCCTTTAAATGGAAGCCAGCATTAATGACGCATTCTTAAGGCGAGGATTTTCGGCAAATTTTCTCTCTCTCTCTCTCTCTCTCTCTCTCTCTCTCTCTCTTACTCGGTAACTATGGTCACAGAATTGGCTATTGCATTGAACGTGCACTTGACGTTGGTTTTTCATCATTTTGTTATCGAATATTTTTTGTGGCTAAAATTTGGGGGGTGGGATAGAGGAAGCGGGCGGAAGGCGTCGAGAGGGACCGGCAAAAGGGTATAAAGAGATAGAGAGCCTTTGTTTCCCTCCCTCGAAGCTTTTGGAAATTTTGGGTGGTGAGAGGGCCACACCACCTCCTCCAATGAAATAGGACAAAATAATAAAATCAAATGGAATGGAAAAAAATGTTGAGTTTCTAGCTAACGAAAAATGAGCCAATGTTTAGATGGTATGGTATGCACATACGAAGCGGAAGTTGGTTTGGTGGTGGCGTCGTCAAGTTGGCCCTCCCTCGAAACTCCTACAACCTTCTCCGACGTCTAAAATCGATTTTGAAAAGGGAAAGTGGTTGGGTCGGTGGTTGTTGGGTTGTGTAGGGAAACGAGTAATCCACCGAGCCGTGCATTTCTACTCAAAAGAGAAATCCGAGCGGTGTTAAAGCGCGCCAATAAAGGTACCTACATTCTACACCCGACGATCAGTGTGTTTATGCACACTCAACCCCAAAAGCATCCTGGTGTCTTCCCAATATGCTCTTTCACCCTTTCGTAAACGTCTCTGTGCACATTCACCAATACCTCTCCTATCCACCGTCATCTTCCACTTTAATTTTTATCTTGCCCACGATGACATATTAAAACGACAACTTCCTTTCATAATTAAGGCATCTTCTTAGACAAATTGAGCTACTAATTGAATAATCAATTTAAACTTTCCTTTTTTCTTAAATTATTATTACGTTGCATGTAAGGTTTATTTGGAATAAAAAATTTATATAGAAGAAAGTTTTTTTAAATAGCACACGTGCCGTACAAGCTGCAATTATCAAGCATCATGATTAGCGTTTTGCGGTGTGTTGAGTGTTGGGTGTTGAGTGGACGTTGGCACAAGCTGTATTTTTCCTTAGGCAGAGTCTCTTATCATAATTCCCGCGGGTGATACGCCAGAGCCACCACGTTTCCCATCGTTACTTTTTTCATTTTCCAGAGCGATATGAAAGTCCCGACAGTGTTATCACTTATCGGCTCTACAAGAGTTTCTACCTCATTAAATATGAGGAATGCTAGGTTGTTGCTAGGTTCTTTTGACAATGTATATAGATAGAAAAATAATGTAAACAAATAGATGTGTTAATTCAAATGTGTTTACATCACATGCGATGAGAAAATTTTGATAAATTGACAAAAGTAATGGCTGATAATTACTGTGTTACGGTATAGGTGTAGGTATAGGTGTAGGTATAGGTGTAGGAAGACATTGAGAAGCATTGGTTTCCGCGGTTCGTACACCTATTCATTTTATCAACAACTTATCAAATATTAACATGCGGGTCCACTGTATTACTGTGCAAAACCCAACATTTTGGATGGAATTAATAAACACCCCCATTCCCTAATTAACCTCAACATTCCGCGGAATTGTGTCGATTAAAATGATTAAAATAGTGGGGAGTCGGCGGTATAGTATTGGCAGCGAGATGACGCACGTGTGATTCCCCACGTTCATTCACTCCGAGGAAAAATACATACGTTGGTGATGTATCATATAACGCAATCCGAACTCAAATGCGTTGTCTGCTGATGTTTTGAGTCAGCCCGGTGATTAAGTAAAGCCTCAGAATGCTCCTGGTGGTAATGGTTTTTATTCATCGTAAGTTCATGTGCTGACTTTTCCGTGAAATACTTTTTTCTCGTATATTTATGCAATAATGTCATCTGGCCCCTTAACCCGAGATGGACGCCAATATTATATGACGGCATTGAGAGCCAGTTAAAGGATTCCTCATGCCGCCAATCAAACTTTCTTCATAATTATTCCATAATTATTCCATATCGTGTGGAGTGCTCATTTTTTATTTTCAACACAGTTCATTTCAATCGGAATGTTCAATTGGACAATATTGCACTTTTTTTTTTTCATTATTTTTGAAAAATTCATCACAAAATATCAATCACATTTTATCCCATATATTGCAGCACCATGAAATGGCCAAAGAATTTGCGTGCTCGGGTATTTAGTTAGTATGGCTCTGGCACGAGTGACGGATGGGAATAAAAATTACAATGAAAGTAAAAAAGGGAGGGGGTTGCTGTTTCATTGACCGTCGTATTGGCCGACGTACTTCGGAGAAGTACGTCTCTGATGGACGAGGTCAGTCTTTTACGAGTGAGCAAGGCAAATTATTACGGCAAACAGCCAGAGAAGGTGATGAAAAACATCATCATTCATCATTCTAATTTTCTCTTTACCTTTCTTTTCATGCAATAAAACTTGCATTAATTTTCATTTAATTTTTCATAAATGAGAGGGGGCATCGAAGTGACAGAGACTCGAGGGACATGACTTCGAGTTTAATTTGACATTTGACAATCAATGATGAAATGGAAAAATCATTGTGAGAAAAAATATATGAAATATGTGGGGCTCGAACCCGCGCCACAGTTATTTGTGGTAACGGGAGAGGAGTAGGGAGAAGATAATTTTTCTCGCCTCAGTCTTTACCTCTCATGCGACACATAAAAAAGTATTATATCGCTGACGCCCTATAGCCGGAGCCATGACTCAACAATGTCGAGAAGCTATTGAAAATAAAATCTTCTATTTCATGGAAACTCTCGTGAAAAGTTCTTCACTCCACCTTATTTCAGTTATTTTTCATTTAAGATTGAGAAAAATAAGTGAAATGATTATAACTGAGCGTCAACCTCTTCGGATTAGAATTTATTTACTCTATAATGAGTAAACACAAATGTCATAAAAGTTGGTCGGTGACCTCTCGAATGTGAAATTAAGCCAAACATGTCTTATTGCACTGGATTACTCATTCCTGTTATAATTCCTGAATTCATCTCAGCACTAACTACTCGGCCATCAAAAAAGTGTGGATCAGGAGGGAAAAAATGGACTTTTCCAAGGGATAATTTCACTCTTACCAGCTCCAGTGTCGCCTTCAAGTATGAATATCGTATCTCCAAAACTCCTATCACTAATCACTAATCACTATGATTCACTTATGAAAAAAGCAAAGGAAATAATCTATTAGTCATTACTGTGAAATTCTTTAGAAAATGTGGCGAGAAGCAACCGCCTAAAACTAACTAGCAACATAACTATTCAGGCAATGAGGAAGACACCAATGGTCACAGTGAATAGTTTTTCCTTCCATCGATTGTTTAATCCAGATACCTTCAACACACATTCTTCTATTAATTGAAAAATAGAACTTGATGCGCCGAGTATAAAAGGTGAATAATTTTTAGAGTAATATTGTTATAGTATTGGTAGTTAATGTAATAATGCCCACTGGTGATAAGTGAAATGAAGGTTAAATGGGGGTGGTGTGGAGCGCACAGTGAGGCGGATAAGGTACCGCGGTGAACTGGCGATGCAAAAGACACAACTCACCAGTTGAACCACATGCACACGCCGCCGACTGTCGACCGCCAACCGCCAACCGCCCACCGCCCACCACCCACCACCCAACCGCCGACCACCGACCACCGATCACCGACCACCGACCACCGACCACCGACCACCGACCACCGACCACCGATCATCATTGCTGCACCATCGCGTCCTA